CACCAGCCTGGGGAAGGGCGGAGAGGCTGGAATTTAAGCAAATGGGAAAAGGACAGCATTTGCGCTTGTGTGGAAACCACTGAGCTTGGGAGAGAAGGAACCACCAGGAGGACTTGGAGGGAGCTTGGCCCTGGAGAGCATCACAGGTCCTGTGAGCAGCCCTTGGGCAGCAGCTCTGGCAGTGCGAGAGGTGGTGGGGAGGACGGGCTTCCTGTGCTGCGTCCTTGCACTTACTGTGCAGTTGCTTCAAAGCTGGGAAAACAGGCTGAGCCCCAACTCTTCTCTGGAGATCAGAGCACCATTTCCACCACTCTGTAGGGCTTGTTGGTATCTCCATCCGCTCTGTTTCAAGAATGTGTGAAAACACTTCTGCTGTGGCTGTGAGGAACATCTGTTTTCAGATGGAACGGTCTTGAATCCATATTGCAAAACAGATCTTCCGCTTAGATGCCTGTATGGTTAGGATTTTTTCCGCAGCACTGTTCATTACCTCAGGCTCTACTTTGCTTCACAGTCAAGGGAGTTTCCTTGTGAAGCATAGACTGTTCTTTTCTATTTTTACATAGTATTACGAGTATAAATTAATAATAGTAATTTGGTTTTTTTAGATCTTTCTGTAAAAAGCTCATCTGCTGAATGCTGGCAGAAAATTGTGTTCACCAGTGGCTCTAATAATGAATTCCAGGTGTGGTAAAAACCCTGCTTGCTTCGGGTTGCTAATGTTGCTTTTTAAGTCCAGATGCAAACTAGTAGAGACTAATTTCTAATGCAGTTAAAACTCTGTATTATGGGCTCTATTGCCTTGAGTACTCAGATGATGTTTTAAATTGAAGATATTGGGCAATGCATGAAGATGCTCAGTTATTTTGCACAGTGAAGCCTAACCCTGTAAATAATCTTTTTATCCTTTCTGTGAGTGTTAACAGATCAGTTTCTTTTAGCAGGATTCACTGGTAAGAGAAATCTAAAGTGTGTTCCTGCCACTATAAATTGTTGACTGGTTGTTGTTGTTGTTGTTGCGGGGGTATCTTGAAATCTCCGGGTTTGAATTTGTTTTTGTTTGAGTAATACGTGTGAAATCGTGGCTGTCAAGAAATGGAGCATGTGCCCAGCGGGTACTGACCTCAAGCAGCAAATAGGCAGTTCACTGAAACAGTTTTCTGGACAAGATTTTCTGTGTGAGAGCTGAATAGCTCTGTAAATAACAATGTTTGCAGACAGGTAATAGATACAAAGTGTTTACATTTGCTGCGTATTTTAAGTATGAGTTGCTGGCACGGGTTTTTAAGTGAGACTTATTTCCTCAAAGGGCAATAAATAAAACCTTGATATATTGTAGAGCAAACTCCATATATATGATGATTAGTGTTTTATGTAGTCTGTTTGAAAAGTCTCTAGGAATATTTATTACTTGGACTCAAATATATTCTCAGTGTTTACAGATACACAAAGATAGGTATATTTTTTCCACCCCACGTTGCAGAACCAGTGTTACACTGAAAGACACTGGGGAGTACAAGTTTGTCAGGGAGCCAAGTGCAGTGACACACTGAATTCAACTAAAGCTGTTCCAGCCACCTTGATTACACTGTATTTGAGTACCAGCCATGACTGCTGTGTTGTGCGTTGTGGTAGGCTTTGTTTAACTTGGATGTAGTTAGCCTAGACTCTCCGAGGTGATACATTGCAGTGTTAGGTGAGCAAATGATTTATTTATGGAAGACAAGTGAAAGAACGGAGAATGTGTTTTATAATTGTCATTTTTAATGGGGGTTTTCCATTTTTAGATTGCGTGCAGTTGCCTGTGACAGCTCCTGTTGAGTAAACTGAGACGGGAACATCTTGTGTTGGCCGTTGTACCTGTACCTGCCACGATGAGAAGTTGCATAAGGTTTCTTTTTCTTGTTAATTCATTCTTTTATTGCAGTGTAATTATTATAAGGAGGTCAATTAGGAAACACATTCCTTTAAGGATTTTTTTTCCTCATTTAACAAAAGTTTTCTTCTAAAACTAAAGGGTATAATAGTATTAGTGGAAATAGCATATCAGGCCAAATCACTGATTATGTATTAAGGGATTGGTCCTGAAGACTGCTGGTTTTCTTCTGCAGACTCATGAATGAGTGCGCTGGTTGCTTCTCATCGCTGCTGAAAAAGTGTGTAACATCTTCCTTATAGTCCTATACTGTGGCGACTGTTTAATGAAACAGAATTACGTATAAGGTGAACAGCTACTGTGTGTGTGCAGAAACATTCACTTGCACAGTTGCTCTAGAAGTTGTGTTCTTGCATGAAGTAGCAGCTCTTTCCTCCAGGACTTAATCTTGCCGGCCTGTTCTTGCATCACTAGTCGGGGTTTGAACACTGATTCCTCAAAAACCCCCGACAGGATTATGTGAAAGCAGGATGGATGGATGTTCTGTAGGAACCTGTGGTTTGGTCTGCAGATTAGCTGCAAACCCTCTGAGTTAAAGCTATTGGCATGAGCCATGCATTTTTATTTGTCAATGTTTGAGCAGGAGTTACCCAAGAGCAGGAGTGGATCCTTTCCTAAGGTTTTCATTCCCTGACCCGAGATGTTTTGTTTACTTACCCTCTTTTTATGGTCAAAAGCAGTCATATGCTTCCAAAATCAATGAGGTGACCACAAGCTGTATTTCAAGAGATCTGAAAGCTCCAGTATAGTATTTCACTAAGTTGTTCAGAGTTTTGTCATTTTCTTTTTCCTGTTTGTTTGTCTGGCACTTTGAAAAGACAAAATAGTAAACAGCAAATAACACATCCTTTTCAAACCTTTAAAATTTGATATAACCTTGAAAACTTCTCTAAAACTTTTAATTTTCAGGTTAGTTCTGCAAATTGCTTATTACTTGGGTCTTCTCATTGTTAGTTTTTAAAACACCATACTTCAGAGGTTCAAAGTAGCAGCTGTTACAGAGAAAAAGGCACGTGCAAGCGTTGTATCTTAATGAAAACAATCATCTTCTTTTATAATGTCACTAAAACTGGTATTTTTGGCAGGTTAAATGACCTTTTATTTAAAAAGAAAAAACCCACCAAAGTGTACTGTCGTGTTCAGCTGCACTGGTTTTGCTTGCAGTAGCACAAGAAGATAATTGTCTTCTAGCACTCCAGTCTCAAGTCAGGGTGAAGCTGTCACCTACATTGTCATAGTTTGGTTTTGTTTTGGTGTGCTTTGGTTTTCTTGGTTGGTTTTGTTGTTGTGTTTTTCATTGGCTGCTTAGTGATCCGTTTAGTTGACTTTGTTCTGCTGGGACTGGCAATGATAACTGTGTTGGATGGAGGCGTTTCAAAATAAAACAATGCATCTCCTTTGGTGCTTCCCTGGAGTTTTCCTCTTCAACAGCATAGCAAACAGATGAATGAAATGATGGGTTAAAATGCAACTGGTGTTCTTCAAGTGTACAAGGAAAGAGGTGGAGCCTTTGCATTGCCACCAGGAAACTTCCTTTGTGTTGTGGCTCAGCTCTCTTTAGAACCACAACCCCGCAAAGATGCTGAAACTTAACCCTTCTCGTGAGAATAGTAGAAGATGTTTGTCATGCTTGCTCAAAAAGGGACTGCACTTTTTCCATTCCCAATTACAATGGTAATTATCTCAGTAAATATCACAGACTGAAATCAATTGCTAAATTGTTAGAGACTCGGACAGGAGCGCCCTGGCTAAAGTTTGCTATCTCCTCATTGGGAGACTTCAAAGAAAGGAAAGTGGAGTTTTAATTTGACCTTTAAGGCAAGAAACTGCATTTGTGTAATATGCTTTTTAAGTGAAGAAGTATTTTTGTAAGTGTTAGTTTTTAAAAGAACCTGCTCGAAGTAGATGACTTGTAACAGCCTCAGCTTACTGAAGGAAAAACTGAAATAATTAGCAGTTTACTCGGGGTAACAGATGTACAACAGAACAGAATTCTAGAGCTGGACTGTTCGTTACCCCTTACTCTGTCCTATGTTTCTTTTATGTGCAAGACACTGATGTAGATAACTGGTATCTCATCCACCTTTGCAGAAATTGATCCTCAGCCTTTGTGACGGGTGTCCCTGTTCTCCATAATGATTGTAATGATTTTGTGGATTTTTAAAAATCTTTTGGATAGAGTTGATTTCTTGCTTCCACAGTAGAATACATTAGAAAGTTGCATCATTGTGTTCTTTAGATGTGATAAACGATGCTTTAAAAAAGGTCGAAGTGAATATGCTGGCATCTTTAAGGCCCTGGAAAAAGGTACGCATCTCTTCACAGTGCTCTTGCTAGGATTTGAGGGATATTTCTTAGCCATTTTCCAGTATTTGCCAATTATTAGTTAACTTACGGTCCTATTTATTTATATGACAAGCGTGCCTATTGCATACTGGCACCGAGACTGAAATCACAGTCCTGATGGAAAGCCCCTAGGAATCAAAGAACCAGCAAAGTTTTGTCACGTACAGGGCCTTCAGGGAGGGAGGTGACAGTTTCCGTCTTTCATGTAGGTGTCCCACTCTGTATAGTGTTTGAAGAGCATCTCAGCGTACTGAGTGAGCAGGCTTCCAACATACAGAGTGGTGGCATTACTTGTGTTCTTGTATGGAGGTTGATGCTCTGCGATCAAAGGTCGTAAAGATTGCTAGCGAGGACGTGCATGTAGGTATCCTGATGTCTTTGGAGAGAACCTTTTAGATTGCTTAATCACATAACATTTTTTGATAAATATATTTAATTCACATGTAATTTAATTAAAACCCAGGTCCTGAATTCTTTAGTTTCTGTGTAGTGTCCAATGAAATAATATTGGTAAGTTCTGCAGTCTGTTAGATGGGAATGGAAGAGATTTTCCTCGTGTATTGGTCTCTTGTTTCATTTGTGTTAAGGTTTAAGACTTTCAGCCTAATTTCTGCATAAAAAGGCCACTTTGATATGGATTTTAATAACATGCTTGAAAATAAGCCCCTTGCCTACAGCTGTAGAGTTTCCCACTGACCTTCTCTTTTCTCGTTTGCAGGTCTTTTTGGATCCCTGTCTAATTGATCCGTACTTCTGAACTCTCTCTCGTAACCTTCGCAAGAAGCCAAAATGAAGTTGAAGCATAACATCAACCCTGTTCTTCTGCAGTTTATAAACTTTATAATCTTGGTGTACACCTTTGTAACATACATTCCATGGTACATATTTTCGGGCTCAAGGCAGGCTATTGCAAAAGCCAAGCAGGTTAAAGCTAAACCTGTGAATAACAAGCCTGGGGGTGCGTACAGATCTGTTAACAGCCTGCATTGCTTAGCTTCCGTTTTATATCCTGGGTGTGATACACTCGACAAAGTTTTTAAATATGCTAAAACGAAATTTAAGGACAAAAAACTCTTGGGAACACGTGAAATTCTAAAAGAGGAAGATGAAATCCAACCATCGGGAAAAGTTTTTAAAAAGGTAACTCTTTTTGCAGTCTGCCTTCAAGAATTTTTTCAAAGTGTGCTTCCTTTTGCAATACTTCTAGTCCAGTACAGCAAATTGGAAGAAATAAGTTTCATTACTTAGATTAAGTAGTCATGAAAAGAGTTAAATTATCTAATTCGCAATCTTTCATTACTTGGCATGTAAAACAAATCTAAACCTTCTTTAGATAGCCTTTTTTAATGGTTTCAGCCAAATTAAAAACAGAAGTACACTTTAGGTGTTTGTTTTTAGTATTTAGCTGATAGTGTGACTGACTTTAGAGTTTCCCTTTTAGGTGAATTTAAGAAGTCTTTTGTTATTCTCAACTGTAATCAACTATAAATATAGACAAATTAATAGATGCCTATACTCACATGTGCCTCTCCAGTAAACGTAACTGTAAATTAAGGATTTACTGTTTTGTCCTGTGAATTCAGGGCTTAAATGAAATTCTTGTTTGGAAAATATTGCACAGATTTCACTGGAAGACTTTTTCTTTTTTTGAGGGGGGTCATTCAGTCTCCTTGAAGGTGAACTTCTCTGCTAATCTCTAATCATACATCGGGGGAGAGAGAAAACTTCAATACAAAATTCATTTCAAGGGACTCATTTTTTTTCTAGTCTTGAGTTCAGGCCTCTGTTGTCAGCTGCTGCTTTGCATTTGTTCAGAGGTGTTTGTAAATGCAGTTTCGTGTGCCAGAAGCGAGTGAAGATACCCATTTTACCAGTATTTGTGTAGTTATGTGTTAAGGGTCTGCACTTCTCCATTAGAAGTTATGAACTTCATGCTGTAAGGAAAATTTTTAATTGAGGTTAGTTTTTCTGGAGAAGAAAAACTGATCTTCTCTTGATCTACCTAAATACTGCTCGTTTTAATTCTGATATGGGAGTCTAACGTTTAAAGTAGAATTTGGTGAATACCACAGTACATGGCAAAGTTTAGTTCTATTAAAACCGTTACAGAAGTGTTAATTGTTAGTTAAACTTCCTCCCAGCTATGAAGTTCATTTTTCAGTATGAAGGAGGTCGGGGAGAAATGGGTACCTATAGTCTTTCTTGGTGCACGTTTTGCTGCCTCGTTGCCCTGTGAAGAAACAAAGTTCAGGTTGTACCAAGTGGACTTCTGAGCATAGATCAGAATTTTGGCTGCCTGTGACGTGTGCTGTGTTTTTCAAACATAATTAGTAATATAAGGCTTAAGAACTTAGGACTTTTTAGCCTTTCCCATTATGCAAGCAACGTGTTCTAAATATTGGAAAGCTGATGAGTATTGGTGTTGACCTACTTAAGTTTCTTGTTTCCAAGTATTAAGACTTAGAAATTACTGAAGTTAGATAACTTTGTCTAAGCTTGACACAACAGTTCTTTATGGTCCGTTGCCATACTTGCCCTCAGATTATTTTGTTTCAAGTCGTGGCATTATCACACAAGTCTACTTTTATTTTTGTTTCCATTAAGTAATACAGTGTTTCTTAATACCTCATAACATGTTTTAGCAAGTAAGAAAACTGGGAGGATTTCACAAGATACCTGGTTGATTCTACATGTCGGAGTTCTTCTCCTATGGCTTCGGTCGTTCATAACATGCATCGTTTTATGGCCTCGTTCCCTTTAGCAAAGGCAGGTTGTTGAGGTTGGTTTGGTGCAGCTTTTTGGAAAGGTGCATGGCAGTTTTACTTCTTGGATATAACACATATAATGTCTTTACCTTACAGGTGTTTCAAAACATCCTTTTTGTTTTCTTTCAGAAGTAGAACGTGGGGGGAATGATTGGTGCATTTTTCTGAGGTTGTCTGCAAGTCAGGGGCAGATCTGAATGCAGATCATGGATCTGTGTTCTGAGCTGCATTGCACTAGAGAGGTATCTCTCTGTGCAAATCGCACTAGGCTAGATAAACATCATTAGCGATCCATTAATGGGCAAATTTATATCTCAAAAACCTAAAATATTAAGCTTCTGATTCTTAGGAGAACCAAATGTATTCACACTTCTAGCTAAAATTATTTCAAGCTAGATATCTAACATCGTTAAGATACTACATTAATTTATTCTAAGAGCAGTGATATCCCAGGTAGTCTGTAACTTCTTGAATGTTTATGGTGATACATTGTTCAAAAGGTTTACTTATTCCTGTGTAGCTGCCAAAGTAGCAGAAGTTCATGGTTGTTAATAAAATACAAATACTTGCTTCTGCTTGCTTTGTTGCATTTATAATTCATCTGTGGTTAGTCTTTCTGTTTCCTTCTGTAGTGTCCTGTGATGCGTGGATCAGAGAGCATACTTAATTTCATAAAATATGTATTAAATCAGGGTAAAATAATGTTGAGCATACTTCAGAGATTAAGATGTAATTAACTGGGAAAATTAATTTAAGTCTAGTTTAAATTTTTATGAAGCCCAACAGATGAACAGATTCTGCTGGTTGGTTATTTGATGTAGTCTTAGTTATAGGTTATAATGTCAGGTGTATACTTTGATATGTGCTGGGATGTGGATGCTTGGGATGTGTCTTGTTTGTGTGTGTATTATTTTGTTGTTAGGGTTTTTTTTGTGGAGGGGGGTGTATTTGTTTTGTTCTATTTTTAAGAGTTTGTAACCAAGAACAGAATTAATTCAGTTAAGAAACTTAAGAAACAGTTAAGAAACATATTAAATAAGACATAGTGGGGAAAAGTAAACCCCATTTTGGTGGGGGAAAGTGAAGCATCTGTAGCCTGTGGGATTTACATGAAACAGCAATGAAACTTGCACAGGGACGAGTACTTGGGAGCTGAGAACATCACTCGGTACAGCTGGTACTGAAACTTATTCTGGACTCTCAGGAAGGTTCTTGCCATGCCAAGTCTCTGAAGAGTAGAACAGCAGCTTGTGGTGCTAAGAAACGTAGGGTGCTATGTAAATAATATTTTAGGATGGGTTTTTTTTGGAAGTGTTCAGCTGCAGTCCATGTTTTTATGTGAAAAAGGCCAGAAATTGGTATTTTGGATAACCTCCTTTGCATTATTTTTAATGTGCTTTCTACAAGAATACGTATTTAACTCGTGGTCACTGGTTTTCCCATTGTAGCTGAGGTTCTTTGAGCTTTTTAAGTTACTTTTAGGAAGACCTTGAAAGGAACCTGAATTCGGGTGGTTGAATGGCTCTACGTGTGCCTGCGGCTGCTTTTGAGAGCGTTGTCTGACACTTTCACACTAAGAAGTTGAATAGAGTTGCCCTAAAATCCAGACTAAAAGAATGTTCCCTGTGCAGCAAGTATTTAGTCTTTACAATTTGCTGGATTTCCAAATATGAATACAGTACTAATATTTAATAGTATTTTCTGAGGCACTAAATAGATAATTCACAGAATCCCAGAACGTTGGGGATTGGAAGGGACCTCAAAAGCTCATCCAGTCCAATCCCCCTGCCGGAGCAGGAACACCCAGATGAGGTTACACAGGAAGGCGTCCAGGCGGGTTTTGAATGTCTGCAGAGAAGGAGACTCCACAACCTCTCTGGGCAGCCTGGTCCAGTGCTCTGTCACCCTCACTGAGAAGAAGTTTCTTCTCCAATTGAAGTGGAACCTCCTGTGCTCCAGTTTGTGTCCGTTACCCCTTGTCTTATCATTGTTTGTCACCGAGAAGAGCCTGGCTCCATCCTCGTGACACTCACCCTTTAAATATTTATAAACATGAATGAGGTCTCCCCTCAGTCTCCTCTTCTGCAAACTAAAGAGACCCAGCTCCCTCAGCCGCTCCTCAGAAGGGAGATGCTCCACTCCCTTGATCATCTTTGTAGCCCTACGCTGGACTCTCTCCAGCAGTTCCTGTCCTTCTTGAACTGAGGGGCCCAGAACTGGACACAATATTCCAGATGCAGTCTCACCAGGGCAGAGTAGAGGGGGAGGAGAACCTCTCTGCCCTACAACCACCTATCCTGATACACCCCAGGATGGCATTGGCCTTCTTGGCCACAAGGGCACAGTGCTGGCTCATGGTCATCCTGCTGGCCACCAGGACCCCCAATATAATATAATAATTCAAATGTTTCCAATAACTTGCAGTTTAAGTACGCTTAACAGCTGGTGCACCAGAGGGCACTGTTCTACTTAATGTGGTATTTCAAGGAAAACATTCAGAGGTGCTCTCTTCTGATCTAGTGTTTGGTTTTCTCTGTCTATTTAAACAATTCGTAATAGTCTTGGCTTCTCAGGCCAGTTCTCTTGCAAGCTCTTGGTCAGCTACTTTCTTTATATATAGAAGTAGTTATCTAGCAGAAATAAATCTTGAAAGTTGTAAAATTAAATGTGTGTGAACATTTAGAATATTATGGCATTTAACATCGGTCTTAGCAGCTGTTTACAGGAGAAATTGTGCACTGGAAAATATCAGCAAAAGTGCTGAGGGACGGGTCAAGAAGGGAGATGGACTTAGAGGCATTTTCAGCCGTAAGGGAAGGTGAAAGGAGCCATAACCTGCTCTGTATCCTGCAACAGAAGCATATAGGGAAATGCAGAAGAAAGGGCAGTATGTTAATGTGTCCTGGGGAGGGAATAGGAACGCTGGGCATGGGGAGGAGGGAAACATGGGAATTTAAATACATGACAGGCAATAGGAAAAGTAAAACTCAAAAGAGCTGCATTGAAAATGGTCTTCTCATCGGTTTTCATGTGTCAGTGTTCTTCTGAAATATAACTGTACTTCTGTATATGGGAAAATAACTGTCACTAGCAGTGTTCTACTTCCTTTCTGTGGATGTTGTAACCCCTTAAGAAAAGAAGGCACCAAATAGGCTTTCACTGCTTTGTATCAAATTTGTTTAAGCAATGAAGAGAAATATATAAGAGAATAAAAAAGGGAAAAAATCATAATCACAGTTCTTATTCAGAAAGATCCATTTTTGAACCTTTAATGGTTTATTATTTAAATTTTAGTGAGTTGCCAGGACCTGTTCACTTGTGGATTTGCAAAGTTACCAGAAACGGGCCGAGAAACACAAGCAGATTCTTGTTACTAACTATTTGAGAGCAGCATCCCTGAGGCCATGCTGTAGGTAGGGTGTAATGATGGAAAGGGTGTTGCCCAATTAATTTCTGTAAATCATTTTCAACTGATGAACTTGCCAAGAATTTGCAAGTCTGCCAAAAAGACTGCATTTTGGGGAAAAATGTCCCAAATTGGAATTAAAATTCCAAATGACTGCAGTTTGGATGGACAGGAAGCATTTTCTTTGGAAGCAGCAGAAGTTTTCCACGCCAGAAATATCCTGGGGTGGCAGAACTGCAAGAAGCTCCCAGGTCGTTGTGGCTGGGGTGTGGAGCTGTGAGCGCAGGTAACGTGTGAGCCCCCTGCCCAGGGGTGGGCGAACAGCGGCTCTGCTGGAATCCAGTGTGATCTTTCTTCTCTGGTAAGGTTTTTGGGCTCTGAAACAGTATTTGCCAGTGAAGCTGAGTGTCTGTAAATAAAGCAGCAAAACCTGAGTAGATATTTGTGTGAGAAATGGTTATTCTTTGGTGACATTGCCCAGTATTGTTATTGCTGGCAAGCGTTGGGTTTTGGGTTTGATAAATCGTATTTATCCATGAACACGCTTGTGAAATTAGGCAAGCAGCTGTGTGTGTACCCATCCTGAGTCTGGAAGTTTTGTCCTGCAGACAAGCGGGTGAATGAGCTGTATGTGGTAATGCTGTGGTGCATACAGCTCAGTTACCCAGTAGTAAAGTTGTGCAGTTTGAAACGTGTTTTGGTGACTTTGTTAGATTTTGTTTTTCTAATAAAGTTTCAGAGAGATTTTCAAGTTCATTTTATTAAGGAAGTGGATGTGGCAGTACAAACTCATTAGAAATGTAGTCAGATTTTACAGCCCCCAGTTTGAAGTTTTATTGAAGTTGATAAATCTGGAAAACAGGAGGGAAGGGGGGAGGAGAAGTTTGCTTTTCTAGCTTTATTTCCGTCAGTTGTTTTCTCTCATTTATTACTAATGCTACGTAGCCAAAGGAAATGTCTGATATACTTGACTAATAAAAATGAGTTTTCAAACTTACCAAGCTGTTTTTATAACCAGACATGTAAAGTATAACAACTTGAGTCTGAATTTTTAGTGCAGAACATCTTTGTACTATATCTGTATATGAAAACTTGTAGGACAATGTAAAAGAAATAACCTACTGCTCGGTGATAAAATAGCACTGTGAGATGCAAGGGTACACACAGAAATCAGTGGCAGTGAACTGTAAATCCAAACCCAGTTTTACTGTGCACCAGCAAAGTGAGACTACTCAACCTTTTTCCAATGGCTTTTCAGTACTGAGATTTGCCAGTCATTTCCAGTCGTCCTCTGTCCCACTTGCATTTAGCAGTGAAAAGGGCAAAAAGATTTCTTCTTTCCCCCTGACGTTTGCTTCAGAGCAAACAAAGGGAGGGGGATGTCACAGTCTCTGCCTGAGGACCTGTTGGTACACCTGCTTTCTGGATTCCAGTTTCTCTGTGTGCTGGCTGGGCTTTGTCTGTTGGTTTTAAAGAACAAGCTCCTGGTGTTGTACTAGCTAGTGCTTGTCACCCTCTAGTTAAAGTAAAACAAACCTCTGTAAAAAATCTAAAGCCATATGGTTCAGATACCTTCTGGTTCTGAAAGGTGCACGGCCTTTCGCAGGGCTGCTGAAGCTACAGAGTATAGTGGGAACCGTGTGCTTTTGTCATGTGGAGACAAACTGAGGTGATAACGTGCACGGAGATACTGAAGGAGTTGTGTTGGAGTTCCACAGTCCCTGTGGTTTTTGGCAAGAATATTACTCGTTATCTTGAATAACCTGCTTTTAGAATTTAAGCAACTTTTGCTTCAAACGTCTGTGTTGTGTTTTTTTTTCACGTGGATAAAGATGTAGGATGACAATTTAGAGAATTAAAATGTTATTCTTGCTAGGTCATCCTTGGCAAGTACACCTGGCTTTCGTACGAAGATGTCTACGTCAAAGCTGTTAACTTTGGAAATGGCTTAGCAGTATTGGGTCAGCAACCAAAGACTAACATCGCTATCTTCTGCGAGACCAGAGCGGAGTGGATGATTGCAGCACAGGCCTGCTTTATGTGCAACTACCAGCGTAAGTATGCATCTTTCCTGAAATATCGATGTGTTTTGATCTTACAGCACATCATGAAAAAAATCCTTCCTTTTTCTTACTTCACTTCACACCCTAGGAAGATACATAAAGTTTATACAGAACATATAAAACTAGTAATAAAAATACTACATAAGGTAGAGACTGTGTACTTTGAGGTGTTTTGTCTTACTGAATGAAGAAAATGCTGTCTGTTTGCAGCTGGAGTATGGTTTCAGTAAGTGTGTCTTGGTCAATGAATTCAAGAGGTTTATTTTCTTTTGATTGCAAATCAGTCCAGATTCCCAAGTTCCTAAAAACAAACAAACAAAAATCACACATGAATTCATTGACTCGGTTTCAGGAGTTGACGTCAAACCTTCATCTGTGCCTGTAAGTTTTGTTTTAACTGGATATTTTGTCAGCTCTCCAATTTTGGATTTGTTTGGAGTTTACCATACTGTGATCTCTAACAAGTGAAAAGGAGTGACTAAGTCCTGAACTTACAGTTGGACAGCTCTTTTGAATTAAGAAGTTGCTCGAGTCCTAGTTATTGCTTCAGAAACCTTAAAGCTGTGTTTAGTTTTGTTGTTCAAAGCGAGTCTCACTCTCATTCATGGTATCTGGTTTAATTGTACGCCAACTGGATCCTTAACTCTGGCTGTGGGCTGAGACTGGTTTCTGTGGCCTGGACGATGCTCCCCATTTTCTCATGGAGTGACCATAAGAGTGATGTCTTTTGGGCTGTTCTGTCCGATGACAGCCCTGTTCTGGAACTTGTACTTCTCCTTTAGCCTCGTGCTGTTTTACTGAGGAGACCACTGACTGGGGGGGCAGAGCTGAGTCTGCTCAGGGAGGAGAAGGTGCTTTCTTGGCAGGATGTGTATGCTGTGTTGCCGATTGTGTTGAAGGTGCCTTTGAGGAGTGGCAGAGGAGGTGTCCTTGCACAGCTTTGCTTCACAGCACAGGGCAGAGATAAATGCAAAGCCAAGTCTGCTCCCCTTTCACTGGAGTCATGTAGAGGGCCACAGCTGTGTCCAAAGTACGTGCTGCCATGTGTCCTCAGTCTGTCGTTCACCTGACTGTAGGCCTGGCCTGGCTGGGTTCTGTGGTCTCGGGGGACACTTCTCATTTTCCCACAGAGCACTCTGGAAGCTGCTGTTCCTCACTGGCTTTGGCCTCTTCTCTGCCATGCTACATTTACTCTCCTTCAATGAAGGATGGGCTTTTAAAGCCAGATGTGCAGAAATTCCTGATTTACTCCCTATCTTCACTAAGGAGGTATATACATTAGTTTCAGATTTTGGAAGCAAGCCTAACAAGAAAATTGTATCTTAAATGGTCCCTCTCTGCTCTAAGCATGTGTCTGTTTCAGTTTGAGAAGCCATAGGTTCATGAGTATATAGCAGTTTCCATTTAAGTAATTCATTATTGTGGGTCTGTGTGGTTAGCTGTATTATTCTCTCAGTTTTAAAGGTGAAGTTGGTTACAAGATGTACTGCCCTAGCCTGTACCATTTCAAAATCAGCCTTCTTGCCTTGTGTGGTGACTGTCCCTATGCATGGGGCAAGAGAGTGGATGTTGTCCAAGGCAAGGCTTTTGACATGGTCTTTCATAATGTCTGTACATCCAAACTATTTAGATGGAAACTGTATGAGTAGCTGGTGAGATGGATGGAGAAGTCATTGGTCCATTGGCTGAAAGGATTGTGATCAGCAGGACAAGGTTAGCTCCCAGGCCTTGGGGATTGGTACCAAGTTCAGTACTGAGTTGAGTACCGTTTAATGTCTTTACTGAAGTGATGGGACAGTGCAAACACAGCGGGTCACAGCCTGTGGCAAGTTGCTGGAGGCAGCCAGTGCACTGGAGGGAAGGGCTGATGTTCAGAGGGTGCTGTCAGCTGGAACAGTGGGCTGTCCTGAACCTCGTGGAGCTCATTGCTGGCAATTACAAGTTCTTCTGTGGGTGCTGAAATAACCTCGTGCACCAGTATAGGCTAGGAGTCAGCTGGATAGAGACCAGCTTTTCAGAAAAGGACCTGGGGATCCTGGTGGATAGAGAGCCAGCCATGAGCATGCAGTGCCTTCTTGCAGTGAAAGCCAACAGCATCCTAGGTGGTGGTAGCAGGTAGGTCCAGGGAAGTCGTCCTTCTCCTCCATTCGGATGCTGACGAAACCACATCTAGAGTAGTACTGTGTCTGGTTTTGGGCTTCCCAGTAGAAAAGAAGACCTTGACGTACTGGAGTGAGTCCAGTGGAGGGCTGCTGAGATGCTGAAGGGCCTGGAGAACGTGACTGATAGAGCAGGGTCTGTTCAGCACTTAGATGAGCGAGTCGAGATCGTGTTGCTAACACTGATGGGTGCATGCAGAGGGGGTGAAGCCAGACTCTGCTCAAAGGTGTGAATTAATGAGACTGGAGGCAACAGGCACAAGTTGAAACACAGGAAAATTTTATTAGATATTAGAACAAAGCTCTTTGTTGTGAGGTTGGTTAAATACCAGAACTGCAGCCTGGGGTGGTTGTGAAAGCTCCATCCGTGGAGATACTTCAAACTGGCCTGGCCATGGCTCTGAGCACTCTGCTTTAAGGAACTGTTTTGTGCAGGTGATCTTCCCAGGTGCCTTCCAACCTAAATCCAGTCCTATTTTTGGTTCTTTCTTTGGTGAGTGACTCCTGATAACTTCTCTTCAAGAGCAGACATCTGCACGGGCTGTTCTTAGGTGAGATGCCTCTGTTGCTTTTAAACTGTGTCTCGTAATACACTGTGTCAGTTCCCTTTTATCGCTCTTGAGAACTGTGAGATTCCTAGTGATTTTCCTGGGAGTAAAACGCCAAGGCTTATATCAGTTATTTTGTTTCTTACAAATCCTAGGAAGATTTTGTAATTTGAATTAAAAAAAAACACAAAAAAGTGAGGTAGTGGATAGATGTGGTGTGTAGAACGATACACATGTGGTTTTGGTTTTGTTGGATTAATGCTTTAAATTCCCTCGCTGAGACGTGCTTCGGCACACTGTCTGATGCGGTGTTTAGCATCGAAGCTGTATTTCATCTTACGTGAACTTGGCTGACTTGCGTGTTGGCGGATGGTGATGTTCACGTGGTCGGTTTGCTGAGTGAATTCTAAAATTCAGCTGCCGTTGAAGAAGCCGTGTAGGAAGACATTGCTGGGTGACTTCTCCGAGCGTTTTTGAGTTCATAGGTTTCACGGCAGCTGAGTGCTGTGGTAGTGCTGTGGCGTTCTTTCTGAATGTGAAGTGTATTAAATCTGGTGGTACGTGCCCAGAAGTGATGCCAAGAGAGCAGGTTTGTCTGCTTCACGTGTAGTGTGGGAGAGAATCCCTTTTGTGCTGTGGTGTTCAAATGGGGAAAGTAATTAATTATGATGTTACGGATTGCTTGCATAATCAAGTGGGTTTATGATTAGAAATACTTCCTTGATTACAAGTTTTACATTGAAGCTATCCAAGTCCTGTGTTTGTATGAGATAGTGGGATTGCTAGTTCAAAACTGGAAAAAAAAGTACTGATGTGCAAACAGCTTTTCTTCCAAAGTATCTCCTCTTCATCTGTGTGACGAGCTCTCTGCCAGCGTGGGCAGATAAAACACCCGAGTGTATAGCCAGATAATGAAAGAAATGGGAAAGATTGTTTCGTTTTCAATCGTGCCCTCCTGAAGCTTGAGCAGAGGTGGTTTTGCCAGAATTGATTTGGCTGAAGCCTGTAAAAGAATACTTTACATTTTTATTTTCTATGTACGATGGATGCTGAAATACTCTGTTTAATGTTTTGGTTACATTGAAATAAATGGCAGCAGTTTTATTTGTTTCTTCAGGGCACCACTTTCTTCTTGTATATTGGCTGGCAAGTTTAGCCGTGTTGAGATTTTTCTTTTTCTCAGACTTTGAGAGCAGATACCGAAAATTCCCTTGTACTGTTGTGTGTGTAAAGGTGAACACAGGACAACCCCTCCTTGGTATGTCTTCAAGAAAAAAAAGAGAGGAAAAAATTACCTAAACTCTCAGATTTGACTGAAAAAGTTTTAAGTATCAATGTGGAGAAGGGAGAATTTCATGGATCAGAGCCGTTGCTCAGGTTTTTTCCCTCCATGACATCAGTGCACCATCGTATAAGTGGTGTATCTCTCTCTTTGGCTCTGTCGCGTAGCTCTGAGTTGTCCTCAGTGTACGCATTTGCAGCTGAGTAATGAACCACATCAGTGGTTTTTCAGAGATTATCCTTTCCGGGTGGCGTGTTGTCTCGGTTGTGCTTGTTGCCTTGGGGAAACTGAATTTCTGCTGGATGTTTGTGGAGCAGGGGTCAGTGCAGTAAGGAGAGAGCTCGTGGGAACTGGTGGAGGCACTCTGCTGGACTTTGCTCCCACCAAATTAAAGAAAACACAGCGCGTGTGCGTTTGCCCTGCAACAGTTCTGAGCTATGATGGACTGTTTTAACAAGGGAAAAATAAGTAGAGGTCAACTATTGACTTTTCTGTGTAAGAAAACTGCTTTTGAGTTCTTCCTCAGCGTGCTGCACTGGGTTACTGACTCCCTGGATTTCAAATCTTTAGAATACAACAGTTGGATTTTATAATATTTTATTTTCACTTTTTTTTCCTGCGGTGAATGGCCCTAACATACAACGAGGGTGTCTTGTTTTAATAACTTGTTTAAATATTCAGCTAAATCCAGACCAAAATCCAAAAGAAATTCAGATAACTAATGTGACAAAACGTCCAGCTCTGACATTACAGTTATTAGTTACTGCGTTGATTGACCTTACAACATGTTTGGGATGCTCCTGTTTAGCGTTCTGGTTGGAAAATAGGAAATGATTATTTTTTCAAGAACGATACCTCTCTTCTTTCTTGAGCTGCCTTTTTCTTCCCAGTTTTTCCTCTGTGTTTTCTGATGCACTTCCCATTAAAATGGTAGGAAATTAAATATGACTTCGACATTGTTAATATGAAATAACTGCGGTTTGACGCTATTGCTGATGAGCT